AGAGGCAGGAAGACTGCAAGTTTTTGAGGCCAACCTGGGCTACATGCTGTGACCCTATCTCAAAAGCACATCTGAAAAAGCTAATTTGGTCCAGCATTCTAGTGTAGAGCTAAGTAAAGTAAGATGTGCGTAAGGATATACTTAACTTTCCACATTTACATTTAGAGCTCACAAAATACCAGTGCATTTGTTACTTTATGAGGCTTTGTAGTGCACCTGAACCTTGTAATTGCCTATCTGTCTTGATTAGAAGGAGCCGGTGGGCAGTACAGTAGTACACAAGTGATCACTTTTAAAATTTTTATTTTCATGTTCTGGTTTCAGGGAGAAATGTGAAAATTATTAAGACTGCTTTCATTTTCCTTTTTCTCTACACAACCAACAAGCCAGAAATAATGTGGTGGTCCAGAGCTAAAGTTCAGCTTAAAACACAGAAAGAGAAACTGGCAAGCCATTTCAAACACTGAGTCGTTTTGACTGCAAGGAAGTGATGGAGTCTCTTAAGAAAAGCTGTGATGGCTGCCTCTAATACTCACAAGGGGGGGTCTGGATGCTGCCTTTACATCATCAATTTATGTCACTGCAGCCCAGATGTTTATAGGATCTGAGTACCCTGAGTGAGAGATCTTGAGTCCTCTTAGCAGTTAAACCACACTTAAACCAACAGAACACTGGCAAACAAAATTGTGTGAGAAAGGGTTAGAGAACAATTCGTTTGGGCATTCCTTTATATGTGGCAAAAAAATTGATCTTAAGCATTAGCTGAGTATTACTCCAATTCACTCAGACTTTGCATATGTGAGATCTTTCACCAACTGGCATTTTCAAAGAACCTGGTACATAGGGAAGTGATTTGTATACTGTTTTCAAAGACAATACACCAGGATCACTGGAGGGGCAAGAGGAAAGGCAAGTGTCAGGGCCCTACCCTTCATGTCTCTTTCAAAAAAATTCACTATAGAAAAATGTGTTTTATATATTGGGTCTATCATATTTAAAACACTTTTTAAAGAAATTCACTTTTTAAGGCAGAGAATGGGAGGATTGCACTTTGAGGTCAGCCCAGGAAAAAAGGGAGACCCTATCAATAAATAAGCTGAGTGTGGTGGTCCACATCTGTAATCCCAGGTATGCAGGATGCCATAGGTAGGGGGATTTTGGTGCAAGGCCAGCCCCAGGCCAAAAGCAAGACTCTATTCGAAAATGGCTGGTAGCATGGCCCAAATGGTAGAGCACCTGCCTAACAAGTGTGAGGCCTGAGTTCAAATTCCAGTACCACAGAAAATCAGAGAGGTATCTTTTAACAAACTTGAATCCTATTGAAATATTTGAATCTTTTAACAAAACTCTTCTAAATAACATGTAAACTATTTTTGAATTTTGAAATTATTTGGCGTCGTTGTTAGAATTGCTATAATAATCTTTGTAGGGGGAACCAGTGGTCACAACAGAACAGATTTCTAGTGGGTTTAAAAATAATTACCTGATGTGAAGCTATTTTATTCTATTCAAACTTTCTAATTGCTTTTCTTCAGGACAATTGGGAGTTTGTTTACATCCTTCCAAGATTTGGTTTCTAAACATAATGGGGTTATGGCCTCATCCTGGGTATTTTGCCTGGTAGGATCGGGAATTGATGAATTTTGTAAAAAGTACTTGCAGACCCAAAATGGAGATGGAAACCTACCTCAAACCTTTTAAAATGAAAAAAAAACCCTCAAGACAAAAACACATCAGACCCAACTGTTTGGGCAAGGTCTATGACAAATCCAAATCACAGGCTTCCTTTTTCCTTGGCTGCAAATGTCAGAAAACGCTTGACATCTGAGTGAACAGCTCAGCGTGTAAAGGTCAACATATCCTTTGGGAGAAATCTTTTCTTATAAATTGGAATGTTTGCACACATAACTGTAGGAAATGTTTAACATTTGCTTTGAAGGGACCTCAGTCTGTTCAACACAGTGGAATTGTTCTTTTTCTTTCTTTTCCATTTTCCTGCCTGTACATCACAGGTACCCAAATTACCAAAAGCAACTTTGAGGCACTTTTTTCTATGGAATCAGATCATCCTTTCCACAAAAGCAGCCAAGGCCTTGGGCTTCCAAAAAGCAAGCATGTTCCATTTCATCCTTTGTTTATTTCAAGGGACTCATTTGTGAGAGACTTTGTTCTGAATGGAAGCAGTAATTTTCCACAGACTATACATGTTGAAACACTGAAGAAAAGCAGGGGAGGAATAATGAGAAAGAGGAGAAAGAGAAAGAAAAGAAAATGAAATAACTGCCATGATTTGGTTTACCTTTGTGCAAATATGTTCCAGTGTGGATAGGATATGCAGTGTCTTTGTTTGAAGCTTTGATTTCTGTAAAGAAGGACACAAGGTAGTAAGTCAACAAAGCAGTTTGCTATTGGTGGTCAGCTTCATCCAATTTTATAACCTAAATCCATGTGATTCATGAAGATTCTTTGTCACTGTAGTCCTTCCTTTCTATCTGGAATTGACCAACAGTGCTGGGTTCAAGTGGCTTTATTTCTTTCTATGACAATGAGCAGATACTAAAAATCAGTTTGTAATTTTTCTTAAAGTAAAAATGCTTTAGTTCAGCAATGACTAAAAATAAACGGCAAGGCAGGACTGTAAGAAGATGCCAGTATCTAGGTTTTACTACAGGAAGGGACCTGAGTCAGTATGGTTCATTATTTTGGAACACTTCCGAATATTCAGCTCCAGAAATAATTTTCCTTTTATTTCAGCCACATCCCTCCACTGCTGACTAGAATTGCAATGTGTGTGCTGCGTAAGTACAGATGTGCATGCCCAAGGCACATGCATATTCCTGTAGAAATGTTCCTCAGAGACAAACCTGCTGTCTCAATGCATACATCCTCTGCCCCTAGATCCTACCATTTCTCATCTTCTCCAGGGCTTCCCTTCTCCAATGAACACCTCCTCTCTTATGTCATTTTATTTTCCTTCTTGGCTCAATCCTAAAGTACATGAACACGAACATGTTGTATCTCCTCTTGATACTGAAAAATAAACCCTTGGCCTCATAGCTCCTTATACTATCACCCTCTTCCTTACCTCCCTTCACAGGAAACTTAAAGCAAACAAACAAACAAAAAATCAAATCAGCTGCACACTTATTTCTACTTTCTGTCTTGCATTCACTCTAATCTCCTCCAATCTGGCTTCTTTCCTCATTTCTCCAAAGAAGGTGACCTTGACAAGGTCTCTAAGACATTGCTGTCAGTCAGTGGATCTGTAACCGCTTTCAGGTTATTCATCCTCTTGGTAGAATTTTAACTCACTCTACTGCTTATGAATCACTCTCCTCTCTTGGTTTTCACATTATACTCACCTAGTCCTCCTCCTAGCTTTTGGGTTACCCTTCTCTGGCTTTGTTGGTTATTTTTCTTCCACCTATGTCTAAATATGGAAGTATACCAGGACTCGATTTTATACCTCCTTTATTTCTTTACATTCTTCCTGCATGATCTCATCTCTTCCTATGGTTTTCAATACCATACAAACCAGCTGCTGTGATTTTCATATGCATATATTCAGTTCCTTACTGGCATCTCATGTGGAGATACATTTTAATAGATTTTTCAATTTCAAGTTTCAAGAGAAACTTGTTTCTTTTGAACCTTTCCCATTTTCAGCAAGTGGCACTTTCACTGATCTGCTTGATCAAGCCAAAATTCTGGGAGTTATTCTTAGTTTACCTTTTCCTTTCACTCTACCACCTCTAATCCATCAGCAAGTCACATCAGTTCTGTCTTCAGGCTGTATCTTTATTCAACTTAATCACTACGTGCACTTCCACCTCCACATAGTTGTAATCTCGCATCTGCACTTTTCAATGTACTTAAATGGTCTCCTTGTTCCCATTTCTGCCTACCTGCAATGCACTACATATAACATAAAGAAAATCATTGTTATGTTCTATTTAAAGTCCATCTGTATTTTCTCATTACTCTGGGAATTCAAATCCCTTCCATTGTTTATTTGGTCCCATATGAACCAACTTCTTATCCATTCCCCTCTCGCTCTGTCCCCTTGAATCTTCCATAACATGCTGAGCCCTATTCTGTCTTAGGGACTTTGTGTTTGTTCTCTTTGCAACATTTTACCTGTAACTTAATGATTGACTTTTTCTCATCATTAGCACCGGAGCTATTTCTTCAGAGATGTGTTCCTTACCTTCACTTCTGTCATTCATGGATCAAAACACCTTATTTCTTTCAAAGCACTTAACACTATCAGGAACTAATTTGTTAGAAACTATTGTGTCTTCTGCAGACACAGAATGGAAGCTGAGGGGGAGAAACTGTCTCCTTCCCCACTGATGACTACTCTAGTAGTGACTACCTAGCATGTAAGGACCCAGTAAGGGGTCATTGGATGAGTTAATTTATTCAACAATGATTTTTAGATCTCCTGCTATGTGCTAGGTCCTGTTCTACGTTCTCAACATGTATCTGTGAACAAAACAGACCCCTGCCCTCCTCATAGAACTAATGTATCAGTGGAGGAGCTGGGTAATAATCAAAACATAAGAAGTTAAAAACTCAGTATGTTTACAGTGCTATGGTGGGAGGATTTCTGGGTGAAAACTTAAGCTAGTTGCCAGGTCTCTTCCATTTGTGTGGTAAGGTAGAAAAGGCATTTGTTTTGCAGACCTTGTAATCCGGGCTTCTGGAGATGAACTAAGATCCTGAGCAATTTTCCTCTGTAAAGTAGAATTCCTGTCTGCAAAGTAGAATTCCCACCTCACAAGGTTGGTTGGAGGACTAAGTGAATTAGTGGAATTGAGTATTATCTTACCCCTTCCCTACTTTCCTGCCATCACTATAAGGAAGAATGACGTACAGTACTACCACACTCTCCCCACTCCTGTGCACCCAGTCAGCTTAACTCATATTCCCTGAAAAGACTCAGTGTACATTTACTGAATAAATATGTGCATAAGCAAATGCATGGATAATTCCAAACCAAGTAAATATCAAAACTATTCTTATTTCAGGAATGATGTTTCTGAAGTCAAGGTAGGAAATCTCTTTTTTTCAATAATTATTTTCCCTCTTTCACATTCCTTAATTCCAGTTTTATACAACCCTATCAATAAGAAAAGAAAGTGCTGCTATTCCTTGAGTTTTTTCAAATATAGAAGCAAACACACAGACATAATTATTTTACAGGAGGATAAAACATTTATTTAAATGGAAACACTAATCTTTATTTTCATCATGCTGAAATGTGTGGTTACAAACAATTTCCAATAAAACACTATATATCATAAGCAGAAAATAAGTTAGTACATTATAAATTTACATACAGTTTCATCAATTAATAAGTTTGAAGAACAAAAACCCATTTAAGACTTTGGAGCTACATTTAGTAAAAAACTGCAAACACTTAAACCTTATCAATTCCAGGTAAGACACTAAAGAGCTATTCAAGACTTCTTTGAACCAATTACACAAATACATTTTTATTTTTGGTTACAGTCCCCTGCTATGCACAAGACCATTGGAATGCTGGAACAATTTATACATTTTAAAACAGCACAAAGCAAAGCAAGGAGATAACATGCCAGCCTTGGAGAAGCTGTCTTCAAAGTGCAAACTTTGCATTTTCTCTTCCTAAACCACTAGTATAAGAATGGGCACCTCAGACGACGCGGCCCGGTCATGAGCATGCTTTCTAATACCACACTGGTGGGACATTTACTGGAACCAGGTCTCCATGCCTTTGAAGATACCTCTGGTTCTAAACAGTGAACAGGTTTCAACTAGCTATAGTGCAAATCAAATACCGAGGAGCAAAACGACAGAATAGAGACTGCCACAAATCAACCTGCTGTTTCTCTACCTGGCACAATGCCACACAGGACAAATTGGCACACGGTAACAACTTCTGTTTAGGTTTTGATATGGAAGGCAGTGCGGCGGAGGGAATGTAGGGCAACCATGCAACAGCCCCGGAGCAAGGCTCCAATGTTATAGACAGGATCTATTCCTCCCCTCTGAGTACTAAATGCCCAAAGAATGGTGGGCACCACAGGAGCAGCGACAGCCAGAAGATCTACCAGGAAACTGCTGCTCCAGTACTGCCTCGTGACACTCCCCTGAGACAGAGGGATGATGCCATCCAACCTTTCTTCTGTGTGGGCTGCAAAATCCAGCTCTCTCATGAGGCGGTTTGCATGGGCTTCCATAGCTGCCTTGCTGAATGGAGTCTCCACAGGAGATAGAAGGATGGTTGAGTTCGGACTTCTTGGAGTTAAATCAACCATTAGCGGAGAGATGGACTCTTGAAAACTCTCTGTCAAGTCAGCCCCAGACTCCTCGGGAGATGCTGAACTCGAAGGACAGGGGTCCTGGAGCTTGCACACACTCTGAATGAGCTCCGAGACAGCAGGGCTGAATGACACCACGTCGGTCTGCACAGCTTGCTCCACCACCATGCTGCTGTCCTCTTGACTCCCTGCCAGAGGGAGGGCCTTGAGGACTTTTGCTCTGGGGGTAGAATGAACAAGCTCCTGGTCACCAGATTCTGTGCTGGTAGCTGTCACCACCTCATCCAATAAATCTGTGCTGTCGGCCATGCTGTCTCCCATCAGCAGCTCACTGTCGGCCCCTTCCTCTGTGATCTGCTCTTCTAGAGATAACCCATCTGCCATCTTACCAAAAGGGGTGCTTAGGAGTAAGCTTTTCCCTGGGGAATCACATGGGAATTCTAGACATAGTTCATCCCTCAGGGAGCCATTGTGCGCCATCTCCATGCTCTGAAGCAGAGACTCCAGCTTCTTGTTTTGGATGTTAATGTCCACAAAGTATTTCTGAATGCCTTTGTCTTTATCAGCCAAGCTGCTCCTCATAGTTTCGATGACCTGTTTGAGCTGTTTGATCTCTTTCCTGGCTTCCTTGAGTGCCAACTGAGCCTCTACCCTGTGGCACTCTTCTTCAATCCAATCTTCCCTCATTCGGGCCAGCTGAGATTTGAGCTCCACAATTTCAGTTTCCCTAGAGGGAAAGCAAGTACCATTAAGAACAATCTTAACTCTGAATCAGGCAACAATCAATTCTGACAGAACCCAGAACCCAGGACCCACACTCTTCTACTTGAAATAAAGATGTTAAATCAGTTTTGGAATGTTTTTCTTTGGCAGGTATTAGCAATGAACTTCCACCTTTAATTGTAGAATAGCTAAAGTAATAATAGTAACCAGAATCAGAATCAAAATAGCTACCATTGTTTCTTTCTTTCTTTTTTTGAGATCTCACTATGCATCAGGCATTGCACTAAATGCTTTGCAAGCATTATCCTCCACTCAGTCCTTAATATTTGAATTTTATTGCCACAGCCTACTCTTTCTTAATATCTACCCACAGTTGTGGAAGGAGAGTTTGTTTCACTTTTAGTTACTTATCAAAGACAGAAGCTAGAATGATAAATGTTAGCCTTGCAAAAACTGTTCTCTGGTTATATTTCCATTGAAATTTTTAAAAATGATAAAATGCTACATGTTGCAAGGTCTCTGTGAAAAGTTGCTTACTCTATTTCATCTCAGGTAAGATGATAATAAATCTGTCTTCCACAGAGGATAATCTATCTTATTTTTTTAAACCTTTCACAGGAGCCTATTTTAAAACCTTTGCTAAGACGTTATTTTTTACATATATTTTTTCAAAGTCAATTTAAATATATGTTCTCATATTATTTGTGGATGTGAAGACCAGGTAGTTAGGATACTCATGTATGGGAGAAGCTGCTCATACTGCTTCTTTAGGTTTATACAAACATTTTCTCAAGTTTTGCTGCTTTCTCATATATCCCCTCCTATTAGGGTAAAAATCTTTCCATGGTCTCCTCAATCATATACTAAACACCTCCAGAAAGTAGGATCTAACTCACCCTGGAGGAGAGTTTGGATCTCAAGTCTGTTTCAAGCAGGGTAAAGAATCAAACTGACTCAGGGGATGAAGAAATGCCTTCTTTATAATGCCTATACTGTCCACAATTTCATAAATCAAAGTCATTGGGTCTTCACCTTGTGGCAGCAGAGGAACGGTGGACTGGTCAAATGGCCATGTGCTGAATCAGACCCCAGGTTCCTAGAGAATGTAAACTCCATCCTCACCTGGAAGTCCCAACTCCTCTGATTAGAGCTCTGCTACTCTTTCCCAAAAAGTTCCAGAGGAAAACCATCAAGCAGCAAAACTGGCTTTCCTTTCTCTCTGAGATAAGATCTCTTAAGCATGGGCTGTTTTTTTTTTTTTAAATCTTAACTCCTGGCCAAGAATAACAAACCTCTTCCTTCAGCACAGAAATATCTTGCAGGAATCACAATGCAAATAGATGTCCACTCTCCTGCAGGGATAAACAGGGCTTGATAGGGCTTGGGTGACCCATTCTGCTAGATGTATGGGATTGTTCCTGCATGTGTTTCTACCATTAAAAATAGTCTTGTACACACCCAATTCTTCATGTCAAAGCTGTACATGTCCAACAAAAAGAGGGTTCCCCCTCACCTACAAGATCCCTGAATTTATAAAACAGCCAAATCACAATGAACTATAGAATTGTTCTGTTCAGAGATGACTTAGAAAGCTGACAAAAATAAATCACTTTTTCTGATCTGTTTTTTGGGTGAGTACAGTTAGTACAGTGCAGTCTGGATACTGTCTTAAAGCACAGGGTGGGAGGAATGCAGATTTACCTTTCATGGAGTCGGCGCTCAGATTCCTTCAGCCTGGTCTTCAGGTGCCTCACTGTGACCTCTTTCTGCTGCAGAGGGGTCAAATACTGTTCTGGATTTGGGGGTTTGACACCATGATTTTCTCCACAAGACATGTACCTTCCAGATCGCCTGAAGTAAACCAAGACATGAGATACTACGTTTTGCCGTTTCCTTTTCTATAGAATGAAAAGTCATAGACTGAATTTTTATTTTCCTCCATCAAATATAAGTGTTGAAATCATAACCTCTACTGTGATGGTATCAGGAGGTGGGGCCTTTGGGAGGTGATGAGAACCTTGGTGATCAATGCCCTTATAGGAAGAGATCCTAGAGAATTCTCTAGATTTCTTTCCACCTTGTGAGAATAAAATAAGACAGCAGTCTATAATCTAGGTTACAGTCCTTCCCAGAACCTGGTCATGCTGGCACCCTGAGACTTAGAACTGTGAGAAACACATTCTACTGTGTGTAAGTCAGTCAGCCTACATTTGTTACAGCAGCCCAAATGAAGACACCCAACTGACAGCATGGGAAGAACAGCAGCTGTATGTTGGGGTCTTAAAACTCAGTAACTGGTGAGCTCTCATCAGAAGATGGTCTATAACATACCTGCCAATCTTAGGGCTGCCAATACGTGGAAGGCTGAGGTGTGGGGGTGGGGTGGAGTGGGATAGTAGAAGGAGGTTTTCTATGATCTCATATTACAATTGTCCACAGGCCTGGGCTGTCAGATCAGAATAACGTGCTGTTACATTAAATGACAATAGAGGGAGGGGGGCTCAGAAAGGAAGGAAGGGAGCTAGGTGACTTAATTTTCCACACAATGTGCCCCTGCCTAAGGATCCTGCTTGATATTAGTTGAATTCAAATTGTTCTGAAACTGGTGTGAGTGTGTTCATTTGATGGGAATGGAAAGTTCTTTCTTGTGAAGGGAACAAAGTTAGTCCACTCTCACCAGTGCCTTTTGTGAGAAAGGTGCTCAATATTCTGCAAATGCAGCCCCAGCAAGAATCTTGGCCCCACTCAGGCCTGGCCAAGAGCTGGGCAATTCTGTTGTAAGAGAGCTGACTAATGAGAACAGGAACGCCCAGGGGGAGAAGGACTGAAGATAGCTGCCAGCTTATTCCCTGACTCTGGGTCCAATCCGAGCCACAGTGCTGCCTGCCCCCTGTGCCTGCACTCTGCCCAAGATGGCCAATGTCCAGTTCCTACCCCTCAACCCTCCTCTCTGGCTTCTCTGGATCTTCAATTCCTTGATCCACACTCCTCCCCACCTTATGCTATTAACTCTTTGCTTGCCCTTCAGTCCTCACTTCTATTTACTTCCTCAGTGAGGCCTCTCAATCCCTTGGGCCTGAGCTGGATCCCTTCCCCTGACCTTTTACACACTCATATTAAATGGTTAAGGTTTTTCTTCTCTGGGCAGTGAGCTTGAGGGCTGTTTCTGTTCATCACCAGTGCTTAACTCAGAGCCTGATACTCAATAATATTTGGTGGTGGAATGGATGAGTGAACACATGTATGATTCCTCCCTGTGCTGAGGAAATGAGTACATCCCTCCTACTGTCACTAAGCCATTTTCCATCCCTACCCAAGAACCACTTGGACTGCTATACCTTGTTAGACACTGTGGTTTGGCTCTTCCTGCAGCAATCCTTGAAGGATCAGTACAGAATAAGGAAGGGGATCAAGACTTGTATAATTTTCCTCGTTTTTTTAGGAAAAAAAAACAACAAACAGGAAAAACTGAGAAGCATGAGTTAGGAGGAGAACGGGCCTCACCTCATGACTGGGCTGCAGTCACTTCCTTTGTAGGAGCCCGAGTTGCTGCTACTTGGAGAAGAAGGGGCGTAACTGGGGTGGATGTTAACAGGGCTCAGCTGATTCCTACACAGCATGGACAGCAGGTCTTTTTCCCTTGGGGTGGGCGGGCTGCTGCCAGACTTGTGCAGCGCAGCTCCATTACTCCGTCCATGGGTACCTCGACTGGGAGGAGAGCATGACAAATGTTAAGAGTCCTTGTGGCTAGAGATGTCTTAGTCCTTCCGAAAGCCAGTTACTACTGAAGAAATTGGAACCCTAAAGTTGAGGAGAGCAATCTAATTACTAAAGCAAACTTTCCTCATAAGCAGCCTTGTCCTTACCCGTCTGATATTGTCTCTCCTTGTAGCATTAGCACAAGCAACCTCTCTCTCGCCTACTATTCTGACCAAATAGTTTCTGACCATAAGCTTATTTTGGATTAAACCCAATTGCCTATTAAGAACACACACCATTTAAAATGTGGATTTGGCTTAGGTCCATTTTGGAGGCTCTTTTGAAGACGTGTTTATTGTTCCAGTACACCTGTTTGGGTTTTAGAAATATTTCAGTTTGGCTCCTGGTAGGGTAAGAGAATTAAGGTAGTTCATTTGTAATATGGCAGGGATGGGGGTCCCACATAAAAAAGGAAGAGAAAACAGAATAGATAAAGAGGCTACATGAATGTATCAAGTGTATAATTTTGATCACTTATTTATTTTTTCCTTTTTTTCTACCCCTGACTTACCATAACCTTTCTCATTTCACTACTAAAATGTTGGAACAGCTTCCTCTTAGTTCCCCTTCCTCTTGCTTTCCAGCAACTGATGTGTGACCTTTCTTTGAATACCACTGCCCTCCTCAGTGCCCTTGAATGCTTCCCCCTCGTCTCCAGAATGAAGGCCAGACTCCTAAAGATGGCTCACAAAGTCTAATCCACCACCCCTTCAAATCCAACCTCCACTATCCCTCCTCTGTACTCCAGCATTCTAAATGACTTACAATCACTGAATGCTTTTTTCCCTAGGCTAGTGTAGGTACTTCTTGGTGCTCCCTAATACTCTGTACAAACTTTCAGCCTGGTGGTGGAATGTTTTCCTAGCAAGGACAAAGCCTGAGTTCAAACCCCATACTGCCCATCTCCTCAAAATCAAATGCATTCACGGAGTTAAGTGCAACTCAACTGCAGGCTAGTATTACAGGATTAGCCTGTTGGGACTTTCCTGTTAATCTAGTTCCTGAGATTTGATACCCACTAGTGTAGGGGAAGCATCTTAGAATGCTGAAATTACTTAATAGGATAACAGCTCTGTCAGGAATATTACTTGATGACATTAGGAGAAAATAACAAGGAAGAAGATTCTTTTCACATAGCAGTGCTGCTTTTTGACAACCCTTTCTATTTGTAATTTTAATTATGGTTCACATCCAACTATCTCAATAAGAAATATGTATAAATATGAATGTGTGCGTGTGTATAAACTTGCTCTATCACTATAATTACTTATTTAAAATCAAACACAATTTCAACTAGCTGTCAACGAGCAAATCACACATAAGTGAAACCACCAAATTCTAAAGTTAAAAGTTCTTTCCTCTTGAAATCATCCAAAGTTCTCCTTTCTGTAAGAAGGGGACACTTTATAGGGAACAGATGGGCTAATGGCTTTCTGACAAACCAACTTCAGCAGCTCAGGGGTGGGAAGAACTTCACGAGTAGCTAAAAGGAACATATACTCTGGCTTGGGTATTCTTCTCCATGCTTTACTTCTAAGCCTGTCACTGGTCAGACCAACCTGACTTTTTCTTAGTGTGATTAAAACAAGTATAAAGGATTGACCCTTACAAGTTAGGAAAGAAGGTAAAGAGCTATCCCTAACTTTAACCTGGGGAATTCTGTTCTGAGTCAAACTTCAGACCTTCTGTGATCCTGGTTCTGTTTCAGAAGCTTTACAAACACTTTCATTTCATTGAAACTACCATCTCACAAGGGTGACACAATCATCACCTCCCATTTACACAGAAAGTAACTGAGACTCCAGGAAGATAAATGGTCCATGAACACACAGCTGAGCAGGAATTTCAGATCTTTTTAACTTGATTGTAATCTTTCCTACATATGCAAATGAAATACATCACTTTGGAATGTAAACAGGTATATTAGGTACTGGTTACATATACAGTTATCATCTGAAAAATTTGCTACTGATATTCATAGTACAATGAACCATTAAGGTACATGATTAGTGACATGTTAAATTACATGAGGATTTCATGAGAACTCATCTATTACACAGAATAAAGCCAAGACTTGGCAAGCTATAAACATTGCTAAAGTATAATAAAGCCTACATATGTGTACTTCAAGAAATGGATTATGAGGATGTTTTAATAGCTAACTTTTAAAAAATAAACTACATGCTTAAAACTATCAGCTATTCCTTTCATTTAGTTTAGCTCAAATGCTAACAAGTATGGATATAAACTCATCATAGGTGATGGTAAATAACATTTTGAAAAGAGAACCTGTGATTCTGTTTGTCATGGTTGTGAAGAGGCAAATACAAGGTAAGCCAACTCCACCCTCCCTAATCACTTGGTCTGTTTGGTAAGAAAAGCGAGCAGTCCACAGAGGAGAGGAAATTCTGTTGACCCTGCACTCTTCCTACACACCAGAATAGAGTAACTGGAAAATAAGAGAAAATGAGAAGTGTGGGAAGAAACCTCTAAGGGGCCCAGTGAATTCTATTCCATAGCCAAGGTCCCTTACTTCAGGTAATTTTATCACCATCACCATCACCACCCTGTCATCATCACCACCATCTCCATCCCCACTATTTCCACCACCACGACTATCATCTCCATCCCCACCTCACCACCCCATCATCATCGCCATCATCACTGAGCCCATCATTGTCATCATCACCATCACAATCACCACCTACTGTCATCATTACTATGGGCTGAATTGTGATTCCCCCTTCTCCCCCAGTTCACATGTTGAAGCCTTACCTTCTCCCCCCAACCCCCCGGCAAATAGGCAGTTAGGGTGAGCAATTTCACTTGTATCCTTATAATGAAAGAGAACTTGGACATAGATATGTATGTAGGGAAGACAACATAAAGACACAGGGAGAAGGTGGCCATGTACAAACCAAGGAGAAAGACTTCAGAAGAAACCAGCCATGCCAGCACCTTTATCCTGGACTTCTAGCCATGCCAGCACCTTTAATTATGAGTAAATAAATTTATGTTCTTCAGGCCATGCACTCTGTGGTACTTTTTTATGCAAATAGCAGACTAATATAACAACTATAATCCTAATCATAATCACCGCCCCCCAGTAGCAGGTTTATTTTCTTCCTTTTACAACTATTGAAATAGACAACAACCCTTTATTGACCCTTTTACCAAGTTCTAGACACTTTGTCAGGCAGTAACATATTCCAGCTCATTTAGCGCAGTGATATAGATGCTACTATGTCCTAGAGCAGGACACTGAGGCTTGGGGTCATACACCTAATAAACAATGGTCTGTCTGATGCAAATGCCATGCTATTTTTTTCCACTCTCACTTTGATTTGTTTCTGAACAGATTAGTGTTTTTAAGAGAGATAATTCCTTAGAAATATCTGCAGATGGTAAGAAGAGATGATTTGTAAGCCACTAAAGGTCTGTTTTTTAAAACCACCTGCCAAAGATCTTCTCACCAGTGGCACCTGTCTCTTATGCTTCCAACTCCTTCGCCAAATGTTCCCTCTAACCTTTCTCTAACATAGGATGAACAAGCCCAGAAAAGAAAGATTGCTAGCTAGTAGAGTTTGGCATGGATACCCTGCCCAGCTAGAGGAGTTGTGCTCAATGCAGGGTCCTATAGAACACAAAGATTATGTGAAATGCCTGAGCTATTCCATCACTGAGAACTACCGAGGGCACCCTGGTGCTTGGATCAGAGAAAGGAAAGTAAGAAGCCAAATTCAATTTCCCAGCTATTAATTGTTGCTAAATCCGTGGCTATAGTAGTAGATTTTGGTAAAGTACGTATCAGATTTGCATATAACTATACTCAAATGTCTCATGTTTAGTATATCAATTTTTGATCACTTAAAGAAAGCATGAATTTTAGACTAGAGCACTTTCTCTGTTTTATTGATATGACCTTGGAATTGAGCTACAATCCCAAATTCCTTTGCAATGTTTAATAAAATTGGTTTCTCTTTTAGCCCATATTCTTTGATACCCTGGGCCATGGGTATGTGCTAGTTTCTTGAATGGGTTAGATAAATGGGGGATCCTCAAAGCACGTCACATCTGATTTATACAGAGAGGGCTTATATTCATGCCCTGTGATCCCAGAAGCACTTTATTTCCAAAACAGAAGAGGTCTGAGGATAGAGAAATAGTTCTTTTTTACTATGAACTTCACTACTTTTTAACAGGTTTGCCTGGTTTCAGCTTTATTTTTAAACAATAAATCTGTGCACTGGGGGTGGCTCAGGTCCCATTATCAACATCAGTCAAACTACTTATTCAGAGAAATGGGAAACATTTGCTTGCTGAGTCCTTGAAATGTAAGCTTCTAGACACTAAATGTTTTTTTCTCTAGAAAGGGACCTTGAAATCTTATAGTCTAACCCCTCTCTTTTTCTTAATATACAAAGTTAGACACTGGCCAGCCAGTACAGTCAAGTGACTTATGTCAGAATACAAGTGGTCCCTGAGTGGTGATGCTCACTCCATCACTCTTGGTCCTTGCCCACAGCTCACATCATCACTGAAGTCTCCTAGGATCAGCCCCTCTGAAATGTGCCACATTACTTTCTCTATGCTTTCCTTGGCTATTTTTCTTATAAATAATATTATGTATCATTTATTGTCTTTCTTGGCCTCCTAGAATGAATACAGGTTTCATGGAATTCTTTTTGCTGCCTTATCTTCAGTCTCTGCTTCATAGTGGATGCTCGCTGAACACTTATATTGAAGGAATATGGACACTGGTGCCATATAGAGAGTCCTGGGGGTACACTGCCTCACATTAAACGTGAAAGATAGATTTTATTTTCCCACAGTCCTCTTCCCCAATTCAACTCACATCAATGGTGAACATTTTATTATGCTCACTATGCTCCAATCCCCAACCCATCTAGAAACCCTATGAGGTAGGTATCACTATAGCTCTATTTTATAGATGCGGGAACTGAGGGATAGAGAGCTTGAGTGACTTGTGCAGGGCATTGCAGTCCATAGATGGTGGCACTGGCACTCAAACCAAGGCAATTGCTTCTGAGCCCACTGCAGGGCATTGCAGTCCATAGATGGTGGCACTGGCACTCAAACCAAGGCATTGCTTCTGAGCCCACACACTCAGCTGCTTTGCTCTATTGCTTCTTGGAGGCAACAGAGCCCATTAACTTTACACTGTCTTCACAAATAAATGTTGTGAGGGGTCTTCACAAAGATAAAGAATGGAAGCCCAGCTACAGGAAAGCAAGGGTGGAGTCAGAGGCTTCATAGCTAGGAAATGATTGACTCCTGCAGGGGAGGTAGGGTGAGAAATAGGAGACTTAATACCCAGGAGAGTATACAGGTGGGTGAGGAAAGACAGAGGGGAAATGGATGAGGGGATACAGAACCCAGGTGTGGATGGGAGATAGGTGTGCAAGGACAAAAACAGACTGAGCTATGTGACCACGGAGGGTAAGGGAGGGAAAAGGGCCGATTATAAGACACTGTAAAATCCAAAACCAAATAAAATACTTCCTTAAATAATAACAAACTAAGACCACAATCCAGGTGGTCATGTAGAAACATAAAGTACAGGTAAGTCATCTGTGTAAAGTGTCTTAATTACAGCGCAAGAGACAGTGCTTACTTGCGTGGAAAAGAGGATCGTTTGTTTCCTGCAGTAGACATGTGGACTTCAGGAGCTGAAATGCTTCCCGTGCTGCTCGAGGAGCTAAAATCAGCTTCACTACCTGAAAACAACAGGGGAGAAAGAAGCATGAGAGAAATGAAACCCGAGAAGACACTGGCCAGTCCCCTGCCTTTGAGGTCTCTGGCTTCCTGCGATGCATACTCTGCTAGTGCCAAGATTCCAGAGCTTCCAAGCTCTTAGCATTTTCCTCCAAGCAGAAAAGAGAAGGCAAAACACAAGGATATCATTTCATAAACATAGGTTAGAGGCACAGGCAGGCTGGTTTCATAAAGATGCCAGCAGCCTCCAGCAGCTTGTCCACAGTGGCTCAAGCAAGGCAAGCAATGCCTGCCTCCCTGGAGCAAGGCTCTCACTCAACAACAGTGTGCCGCCCAAAGTGTAAGCAAAAGGAAACGTGTACTTATCAGTTCAAGAATGGTTTCTCCATGAGTGTTTATCTTTGGGCTTCTGCAGTCAGCTAGTCATCATTGAACTTGGCATTTTATGTCCGAAGACAGTCAGCCTGTTAGAAGCAGTCAGGAGAAAAGACCGAGCTCCAGAAACTGCTTGAAGCAACACTATCTGATTACACAGCTGACTTTCTCTGACTGCAGCTTCAGTTTTTCTATAAAGAACAGGACTTTCACCCAAAGCGGGAAATTAACATTTCCAAACAGAGTGACACTGAGGGGACCTATGACATACTGCAATATAGCTTTAGGATGAGGTTGTTCATTAGTAAAATTGCATTACATTTTGAATAGAGACAAGAATTGGGTGTGTGGTGATAATAAAAACATGCACTGTAGTAGAATAATATAAATTCATTCTAATAAAAAGAGACATAGTTCTGAAATAATAATAATGGAATGGGAAGAAGTAAAAGGGGCCCTGTAGAAAGCAAGATGAAAATGCTGTGTTTTTGGAAAATATATCCAAATATACCATTTTATTTTATCTTGTTACTTAGCTTCTACAACACAATGTGTGATCCTTCTGGTCTAAAATCCAGGGAAAACTCACATTTCTTAGCTAAGGGAAATAATTTAAAACTTTTGAGGTTCTCACAGCCGTGAGTAATAATTATCATCACAATAACTATTTATTGAATGCCTACTACAACCCAGCCCCTTTTTGGGATGCTTTGTTCTTTATATCATTTATACTTGACACTTTGGAAAGGCAGACTTTAATTTCACTATTGCATTAATGAGAAAGGCTTGTGGGTGATGGATCCTATGTAGGACCAACTCCTCAGACCACTTCTTTGATACCATGCTTCGTCTTGGGAAGGCAGTGGGAAGAAGTGGGAAGCAGAGAGGTTCCTGGGTTGACTATACATCACCATCAACCTGACAGACCAAGACAAGACTTAGATGTGGACTTTGGCCCACTGGTGTACATATCTTTCTCTGACAGGTGTACAGATCCTTCTCTAACGGGTATAGACATCCTCTCTCTACTAGTTCTGCTAGAGGAAAAGGTGAGCCATGCAAGGCAGAGAGGGAAAAACTCTCTTCTCCTGCTTCTAGGGGCCCTTAGGAAATACAGCTTCTTCTGGGAAAGAGATCAAGAAAGATCCCTTAGCCAGATGACAGCTGTGACCCCTAGCTCCCAGCAGGATTCAGGGAAGATTAGGGTAGCAATTTATCAGGTCCAAGACTAGCTATTCCTTTTGGTTTCAGTGACTTTGTCTAATGATGTAATGAACTCCTAAAGCTCTATGACCTTAATTAGTCGCTTCTGAGTAATGCTCTGGCTTAATTGTAGCATTTTAGAATCTCAGGGATTCACAACTGGTAGTACAATCCAGCAACATTCTATTTCTGGCAGCCTAATTCAACTAGCTTTGTTGGCTTGCAAATTACCAGGTTGATTATTAAATGATAAAGGTAGACAATTTTCAAATTGTTGCAGCCACCAGGCGTAAGATATTATTTTCTAATGTGAAATTATTTCTTACAAACACCCAGTTTTCATTCCTTAAAAGACACAAAACCCCCCATGAATTATCATTTAACTGCCAACATCTACACAGAAATTCTAGAACAGAAATGGACAATCAGTGAAGATCCATTGTTACCTCAGGATTCCTTTAATCTGCAGTAATTACATTTTTTTGAGCTAAAGGGATAACTTTGTTCTATATTGTATTGCTACTGGAACTTAATATACTGACTTTTACGAACTGGTAGTGCTGGATGTCAATGTGTCCCAGTACCTTCCTATCTTATCTTCTGCACATCTGAAAAAAGATTAGAAGACAGATTCAGAGTAGCTGTATTCAGAGCTATGAGAATGATATGGTAGTGAAAAATGCAAACACTATTTCACAAATACTTCAGTTTATGATTTTAAAAAGTATAAATTATTTCGAGTCTGGTGAATACAATGTAAAAATCAATGAGCTCTTTTTTAAGGGATACACACCATGTTTTCATTTTATTATTCTATTTTATCCTACTTATTTTAATGAGTCAAGTATTGCTACATTACCCCAACTGGCCTAGAGCCCCTGAACTCAGCTGATCACCCTTGTCTCACCCTCCCAAGCAGCTGGGACAACAGGCACATGCCACTTGGCCCAGCTAAGAAAGCTTCTTTTTATAGACCATTTGATATTCCATCCCAGTTTATTAAGCAAAGTAACTAAGAGAAATAATGGAGACCTGAAAGTTCCCCGTTTTTTTTTTTTTTAATTACTTGGCAACAAAAACACAAGGAGAGAGAGGTATTTTATTCATTTCCTTCAAATAGCATATATAATCAAGACAATACTGCAGCTACTGTATATAGTTAAGTATAGTTATTTTGTTACTAAAATCATACAGAGAGAGCACCTAACCTAAATGTTCAGAACCTGAGTCAGATGACTTGGAGTCAGTCAAATTCCACCTCTATTTTCCAGATGGAGGACATTAAGCAAATTAGTGCCTCAGTTTCCTCATCTGTTAAGTGGAGATAATAAATCACAGCAACTACTTCATAGGCTTTGTTGTAAGCAGTTAATAAATACATAACATATAGCTTGGAAAAGCGCCTGATCCATCATAAATTCTGAAAATGTTAACTACTATAATTATTCTTCAGGGGTTAAAAAGGCATCTTTCATTATACTATGTATTTCTTTTGTAAAAAATTTAAAGAATAGTAATAGTCAGGAAGAAAAAAAATACAGTCTATAATTCCATGACAAAAAGTAACCTTTTGGTATGCAACTGTTCAACATTCACCCTTAACACATTATTATGTAACTTGCTTATGTTTTCTCTTAACATATGACTATCTTTAAGACATATCACATTTTTTTAGGAAATGATTGAACACATAGGCTATTTCCAATTATTCTATTTTTAGAAAGAAAAACTGTGCCAGAAGTTATCCTAAGCACCTTTTATATCTTAATTAATTTTTCATGATAACATAGATCCTATCAAGTAGGGACAATTAAGTACCAGTCCCTTTTATAAATGAGGCAGAAAGAAGGTAGATGGCATGCACATGGTGACATAACTAATAAGAAGTGGACTGTCTGACCTTAAAGCCCATGCTCTAACACACAGGCTGACTTCAATAGATATCCTCCAGCATACAAATTTATATACTTGTCTGTTGGCTGATTTCTTTAAATTCCTGAAAGTAGAATTTTAAGCCAAAGGATATGCTCAATTGAAAGACATATAATACCTACTCCATATATACAGGCATTTGGGCATGTTACAAGCCTATAGTAGTTTCTATGGTCAAGAGAGTGCTTGCTCCATCTGCCTATGTGTGGATACCCAATTGGAAAATCTCTGATGTCATTGAAAATACTCCAACAAAGCCTGGAAATTATTTGATCATTGAATGTTGTGACTGAGAAGTTGAAAGGAATTAGAAATACACATATCTATGACATGCTTATTAACACTGTTTTTACCCCTAATATAAATTATCTTTGATCAGCTGCCCAGGAGAGTGGGCCAGGATTATAGGACTGCACAGGCAGGATGAATATCATGACTTTTAAGGTACTTTGTGATGCCAAATTCCTGCTGACAGAGCGTCCTGCAGCAGAAGCCATGTCTGGTGGCCTCTGGAAATTCCAGTGCTTTTTTTTTTGTTAGTATTGCTGAACTCTTTGACAGGTGTTGTTTTTCTTTATAATGTTAGAGTCGTAAGGGCTCAGTGCAGGCACATTAAGGCTAGGAAATGAGAGAAGGAAAAATGGAAATCAAAGGAATATGTGCCCAAGGTGACAACTAGACTTCTTCTTTAAACATTGCTTGCATTTAGGTTTTTTGGGATGTTATTATTTTTCTCTGTTTTCAGGAGTCCTCACATGTCATAACATCCCAGGCCACAGCAATCCTGCCATCTACCAAGCTGTATTAAGCTGTTCTAAACCACTGATTTAAGTATCCCAAATCCTCCATTATTCTTTGTCACTACAGGGCTATCAAATTAATTCAGGTTGACTATCTATACCCCCATGTCAAATAGAGGCAGCAAACTAAAAAAAGGAAAAAAAAAATAGCTCACCACTCCTTCATCTCCTATCCTCTCTTCCTCCCCATCAACAGCTACACATTTCTTTTATTTAATGGCTTCTGGGGAGAAGAGAGGAGCCACTTTCACTGAAGCCAAGCACAGTTCCCAAGTGGATTTGGTGGGAATGACTCTTATCCAAGAAGGCTTAGGGTCCTATCCAGGGAACCCAAGAAATGCCTCACAACCAAAGGGGCCTTTTTTTTTTTTTTTGGCCAAGTATTTCCTTGAACCCTATATAAGTGCTTATCCCAGAAAGAGAAATTCAATCAAAGTATCAGTAAGTTGATTAAAGGCATATACAGGTGTCCTTATACTTCAGAAGTCTTCTTGAAAATTTTTAGATATAATTTCCACTAATATCATAAATTCAGAAATGATTTACCTTCATTGTGATTGACATTTAATTGATATAGCTGCCATATTCTTAAAAACACTTATAAACATCTATCAAGAGAAGCTAAAATTTAAAATACTTAGAAATGAATAAATTTACTGAAAGATCTAACTACCCCCAAACAAAATTGCTTA